TTTTTTTTTTTTGTCTTTCGGTGTGATTAAAACATGCCAATTCTCAGAAAATATTTTCAAATTTTATTATATACCACCTTTTATTACATAGATCTTTTTTAAAAACATAACTGCTTTTATAACATTATATAGACCCACTAAACACAAAATCTGCTCTGGCTTCGGGGGTTTCGCCCCCGACCCCACCAGGGCCCTTATTCAGTGTCCTGGACCCCACGCCCAGAGAACCCCCCCTTGAAATGACCTGGCTACGGGCCTGATGTATAACCATGATCAAACAAGGACGGATTCCACCAGACTCTTGGCATGCCTCTAGGCCTTGCTTAAATTCTTCGCTTGGCGAAAAATCTAAGCAAGCAAGGCCTGCTCGGCCTTGCTTGGATTCTGCTTTTCGCGGCAGCTGCTGCTCTTGTGACATTGATCTGAGTGGCATAGTCCTATATCAGTCATAAACTTAGCCTATAGTTCCTCCGTGATCATACCGTCTGAACTTCATAATCCCTACATCCCAAGTTTTAGTCCAAGAAGCTCAAAATAATACCACGCTTTACAATCCAACCAAAATATTCATACAATTTTAATGCTCAAAACTTTTCATAGGGCTAGACTCCGTTACTGTTATGCTACAGAACTAGGCCTAGATCGAGAGAATGAGTTTCCCCTTCATGATTATTACTATTGAGTCAATTTTTTCCAATAATTTTGATGCAGACCTTAAAACAGTACTACGGTATATAAAATGCTAGGAGGCCTTATGAATCTTCTTGTTTAGTATATTGAGTTTTTAGTGCTTGTCACTGTCACAGGTGAGCAATGTGTGACTAGCAAAAAAATGTACTTCATGAGCAGATGATTAGCTAGGCAAAGATCGAGTACAGTATATTCTTATAATACTGTCATAGAAAAATAGGCGTACCACTCAATAAGAGTTATGTCATTTATAGCCTTATTAAGCAAGGCATCATCCTCAGGACTTACTGGTAGGCCAAGGCACATGTAATACACACACTACTGCTAGTCTTTGGTAATGTATTTATGACAACTTGCAATAAAAAAATGAATATACTTTAAACAAGAGAATTCATACAGGCCTACTTTTACTATAAAGGGGAACCATACACCTATTTAACGATGACAGTAACTTAAGTCAAACAATATTGTACTTTTGATGTTCTAATTTTCCAGTACTGTACATGATCGTTCGGGTGATATGCAATGCGAATGCCTGTCTTCAAAAAATGAGGTCACGCACATTCTGGCATTTCATTGGGTGATGGTGACATAATGCCATTTACCGTACCTTTAGCAAAACGAAGTAGAAATACGGTACCATATCTCTAGCCACGGCGTTTTCAAAAAGTATTGCTAAACAGTAATTAAAGCTTTTGCTTCATTTTTGTGTGTTATTACTTTGTGTTATTTTTGGAATTGCTTTCATTTTACTTTCATTTTGATTTTCTATTATGATGCAATCCACAACTTTGTTAAAGAACTCTACTAGTTTCAGATTTCAGTTTTGTGATAAATTTAGTATGATAAAAGTATTCAGAGAGATTTGATTGGAAATGGCTTATTTCCATTTGGGTCTATCAAAATTAAGTGTTAAAATTAGACATTTAAAGTTGTCGTTTAGTTATGATTTTGTAGAGTAAAGAAAGTAAATATAGAGCATATTATTTTACCCTATTGGAGCTCCTTTGATTCCTGTACCCTGAAATACTGTCCCTTCCTAATAATTTTTTGCCGGGGTGGGTAGTATTTTTAACCCTCTTAGTGAAACTGGACTCCTGCTACACTCATACGACTTGGTTACATGCATAAAAAACATGATCATAATGATGACTTCTGAAAGGACAAAAAAATTGTTGTGATTTTTAAGGTAATATACTACCTAACTATATAATTTTGTGCTTTTTTTTTTCTAAAATATATTTTGTGATTTTTTTATTTTTTAAAAAATAATTATAGATTGAAAAAACTACTGATGAGTCAGATGCAGACCTGTGGAAAGATTCGTTCTTTTCAAAAACAAAACGATATTTTTGTTTTACAAGGAAATTACCAACACCAGATGTAAGAATTTGTATTATTTTCATAAATCAATAAGAGTCTGTAAATGGTTTACCTTATAAATATGATCAGATAATGATTTTTATTTTACATGATTATAGGGATCAAACACTATGGTGCTGAAAGATCTAGCCATAATAAAGGAAAATGACGTTATACCAATGAATTACACAGCTCTGAATCAAACTAAGGACACATGTGAGTACTAGTAGATATCTGGAGTCAATCGTGTCGTCATCGCATTAACTCGCAATGTTATTTTCCTATACCCAACTGTGCACTAATTTTTCATTAGTGCATGGTTTGCTTGATCTTTTTACAGTTTGTGTGCAAAAAGTGAAAACAACTTGTACAGTATGTATTGCGCACCACAATGATTTCTAGGCTAGTGTTTTCACACCTAGCACTACGACACACACCTGCGGAAAGAGAGGGCAGACACTCGCCCAGTCGATGTGGTAATTGATTTTTGACGAGGTTGATTAGAACCCGAAGAAAGTTACTTCAAATTCAATATTATGTATGAAAAATTCCAAAGAATTCCAATGGACCCAAATAAACATTTAATTGAAATATTGTACACATATTTTAAAGACTCAAAGAATGAAGCAACCAAGGACTGGCCTAGATCTTAGCCTAGATATAAAATCATCACACGATTTTACCTGTCTACACCAACCAGAAAGTCGTTAGTTATTCTCTCAAAATGCTTTAAGAAATGTTTTATTCCTTTGACGAATGTCTGTCAAAATAGTAAACTCACGAAAAGTTATTCAAACACAATCAAATATTTATTCATTTTATCCGTACTGTAAACGTCGCTGTGTATTAGAGCATACTGCAGCAACAATCTGCATATGCACAGTTAAGTGTAATGTGCATAAAGATGTACTGATCATATCACTAGGCATTTTTCGTTTTGACTACGCGGCCAATCTACTACGAACTAATAGAGCGTAACAGATATCTGCGCATGCTCACAAACCTTACTTGCTAAATCGGTGTTGTGACAGCTTCCGCGACAACCCCAATTTCTGAATTTGGCATAGTGGCGACTACCCTAATATTGACCAATCAGAACACCGGATTGTTTGGCAAACTGCTGGTAACTTTTTTGTTGGGGGTTGCAATTTTCATCGCATCCGCGATCGAGCATTGTTCGTTTAATAATGAATTAATTATGATTAAAACAAGTGAGTAATTAAATGTTTTATGAAGGCCTATTTATACACATGCAATAAATGAGGAATGAATAGTCACAACATAAAATTAGGTAAATCAGGGGATAGTGAAAAAAGGGCTTTAGGCTTAGGCCTAGCCTTGTCAGGGTGGATTTCGGGTAGGAGAAAACCAGTGGCGTATCCAAGGGGGGGCGTGGGGCGTAACTGCCCATTTTTACACCTTATTCCCCCAGTTTTTAAATATTAAAAAATCTGTATCTCATTCACCGTTCCCCAGGTTTTCGTCAAACAACTTTTTTCTGTCTTAGAAAAATCAGTTCTACAACATATCAAAAATTTTTTTTCCTCCGGAGCCTGACTTTAAAAAAACGAAAACAGCTCTTGGTGAAGTACGCGAACAGTGTCTTGGCGTTATTAGAGTAATTAGTAGAGTACTTATACATGAGAGAAATTATTATACTTAGGTTAGATTAATGCATTCCAAAAAATCCTTTGGGCTTTGCAGGCCCTTAGGAATTATTTTCAAGCATTAATCTACCTTTGTATAATAATTTCCACTATTGTATGGTATGCAACTCTACTAATTGCTTATTATAACTCTTATTGTGATAAATAATTTTGAAAATTAAGAGCCCAAAATTTGTTAATGGTTTAAAAAGCCATTTCAAGCTTTAAATAATGAATTGGATATCTGTACCTTTAATTTAGCCCTGTCTGATCCTAGAATTAGGCCTAGGCCAATAGTAAAGTAGAAATAAATGTAGCTGATCTATCATCCCTGATGTACAAATGTCATTGTGCTTGGACAACACAACATTTTTGGGGGAGTGGGGAGGGGTGCCTTTAATTGTGTTTGTAAAAAGTCAACTATTTTTACTTGTTTTTAATAAAGTACTGTCTGAATACACCTAAAAGTGTATTTGTAATGTCTTTCCTTCTTTCTCTTTTTATACTTACAGCATTTTATTATATTTTTTTTCAGCTGAACAATGTTTAAAGAAAAAGAAAGTAGTGGTACAGTATGAAAATAGATTTACATCAGGTTCTGCTATTTGTGAAGTGTACTTGACAAAAAATTCAAAACAGAAAGTTGCTGAATCTAGTTGCAAAGGGTAAGAACAACAATAATATTAACTAGACTTATAACTATGTCTGTAAAACAGTACATAAGGATTTTGTAAAAAATTAGAAATTTAGAAATAATTAAGAAAGTATAAATGAAAAATAAACATGAAAACAAACTTGACGTAAGTGATGACTGCAGCGGTAATAGTGATGGTGATGTTAACATTTCTTACCATTAAGAAAAAGGATAAAAGAAATAATTCTTGGCGCAACCTGGAATTCACGGTTTCAATCATTGCTGTGTATTTCACATTTGTTCTTGAGCAAGGCACTTCATGTGCATTTAATCTCTCCTCCCGGGAGTATAAATGGGAGCCTGGTGAGGTTGCCTGCTCTTGCCCCGATACGGCAGCAACCTTTAATCATGTGGACCCAATGACAAAAAATAAAAGACTTTTTAGTTAGTAACTAAACATAATAACTAAACTAACATAACATTATCTTTGGGCTTTGCTTTTAACTACTTTATTGGATGCTGTGAATCAGCACGGTACAAGTTAACCTTGTGCCCTATATAGTTTTATTGTTATTCTTATTTATATTCAGAAATTTAATTTATATTTTTATATTGTTATGTTTAAGATTTCATTCAATTTATTGTTGAATATTTAATATGGAATAACATTATTGCTAATATGGGGACTAGTTACCCACATACCTATATAATAAAAATATGAAAACATTAACAATTGTTAATAGTAAAAGGTTTAATAAGCAGGTGTTTATTTTTTGACAACAGGGAAATAAATGGCTTAACATTATCAGTAAGATATGGAACAGGGCCTAAGATACAGCAAAAGGTGACGCAGCAACTAAGCACACCACCAGAACCACAACCTAAGCCAGTACCAGCTCCAAGGTAAGTCATAAAAATTAAGGGAAGGCAGCCACCTTAGAAATATTTATTGCAATATGGGATTTGAACAATGTACCAATCAGCAGCACCAGAAATTTGCTGACAAGGGGTCCGACATGTCTGACAGAGCGATCCAAGCCAAGGGGCTGACAAAGTCTTGGTCGATGGCCCGGAATAAAAACTTACATGTAGTGTTTCTATGGCTTAGTATGGTCCAAAATGTGCTTTTAGACCACAATATTAAGGATTGGCTGTCAAAATAATGTTATTTGGACAGGCAAATTATATATATTTTTTTTAACTTTTGATCCGAAGACCTAAACGTGCGTCGGACAACAGGGGGGGGGGGCCTAAGCCTGTCCGCCATGGAGCAAAAGCCCTCGTGTTTCAGAGAAAATGGCCTAAACATGCTGGAATGTCAAATTTTAAAAAATCTATTTTATACAGATACAGATTAATTTTATTGTCCAATAACTTGGAAATTACATTGCTCACTTGCTATATTAATTAATTAATTAATTATCTTCTTGAATACTTTAAATTAAACTCCCTTATCCCAGCTGGGTAAAATGAGTACTTGTAACGGTCCGTGTGCGCACCCACTGTCCTCATTCTACCACTTCTGCCCATGCAGGAGCCTATCATATACACGTGGAGCGGATGGCTGTTATCCTCTAAGATATTTTTAAAAACAATGGCAAGCCATTCGTGGTAGTATGAGTGCAGTGACTGCACAGTTGAACCAATAACTTTCCCCACTCTACCCAGCACCTTTTCTATTCTCTCTTTATCCCCTTTACTAATATTCCCAGCCAACCCTAACATACAATACCCCCAAACAGAAAACATCACCGATACGTAGAACATCCAACATATGTTCTGCTTAACCCCAAAAGAACCTAGTTTTCTAAGACAGTAGAGTCTACTATTTAATTTCTTAACTACAAAATCAGTATGATCCCTCAACAAAGTTTATTGTCAAACACCACCCCAAGATACTTATAAGAATCTACAATCTCCACTTCTTGACCATTAATGTTTACTTTATTCGGAACAGTTCTGTTATTCTTCCTGAAATCAATGTGCATTTCTTTTGTCTTATTTATGTTTAATTCAAGAAAATTATTTCCACAATACTCAGTAAATCTAAGAATTTCAGAAACATACAGGGAATCATTACCATCATTTATGAGACCAATCAATGCAGAGTCATCTGCAAATTTGATCATTGGATAACTCGGAGAAGTAGACCTAAAGTCTGACGTGTAAATCGAAAACAAGAAAGGGGCCAAAACAGTACCCTGTGATGCACTAGTACTGGTAGACACCATATCGGAAATAACGTTATTCTGTAGCTTAACATATTGAAGACGGTCGACCAGGAAATTAAAAACAAATGAAATTAATACACTTGGAACATTCAAATTAAATAACTTACTTATAAGAATGTGAGGCTGAATTGTATTAAATGCCCAACTAAAGTCAAAGTACATGATTCTCACGCATGGATTAGTTTTCCAGTCATCTAAGTGACAATAAATTCTCTGAATTTTATACAGTGTTGCATGTTCAGTATCCTATTAGTACAGTAGGCAAACTGGAGAGGATCAAGATGATCTGAAACTGTTTGCTTTAAACTATTCAGTACAATTTTTTCAAAAACTTTCATAGGTACCAACGACACTGCAACCGACCTAAGATCGTTATAGCAGCTAATAGGGTGTCTTTTAGGAACTGGGATTAGACATGGTGTTTTCCAAGCCAGCGGAAGTACATGAGAAGAGAAAACCAAATTAAAGATATATGTGTAAGATGTGCAAAAACTGACAAGCACACACTTTCAGTACTCTAGGTAAAATCCTTTCGGGACCAGCTGCTTTCAATGCCTTTAACCCTTCGAAATGTTTTGTTACCTCTACTCCATCGATTAATCTTTCACAATCATATAATGAATCGTTAATCTTATGTTTAAGTTCCAAACATTCATGATTCACCCATGAACTCATGTTTATTAAATCTATTAAAGAACTCATTTAATTCATTTGCATATTGATTGGACATATTAGCATTAGCAATCCTATTTTTAGATGAATTCTACCCACTCATCTCGCGCATTCCTTGCCATACTTGCTTCATGTCATTACATTTAAATTTGTTTTCAACCTTATTTTTATATTCAAATTTGTTTTTACGAATTACTCGCTTCAATTCTTTCTAAATGATTTTAACTTGAGCTGTATCACCATTTTTAAATGCTTTTCTTTTTTGCTTAATCACTTCCAAAACATTTTTGTTTATCCAAGGCTTAAAATTACCATAAACTTTTATTTTCTTGACTGGAATTATATTTTCAGTACAAAATTTACATAAGCAGTAACAGTTTCTGTCAGTTCATTCACGTTTGTACTGTTCTCTTTGAAGATGTTCCAGTCTGTCATTTCGAACTCAAATTGTAGCTGTTCAACTGACTCATCAGACCATTGCTTCACTGTAATAACCTTTGGTTTTAGGCGGTGTACTTTTGGGCGGTATTTTGGTTGTAGCTGAACTAAGTTATGGTCTGATAGACCCAGGTTCGGCAGTTTTCTTGACACGAAGGCATCTTTAACATTTGAAAAACAATGATCAAGGGTAGCTTCGCCCATAGCACTACACTTAACATGCTGGTAAAAATAAATACTGCTTCTATTTAAAGTACAGTGGTTGAAGTCCCTGCTTATTATGATGAAGGCATCCGGGTGCAGAATTTTAATTTCACCTATAACATTGCTCAGTTCTAAACTCGCTTCTTTTGCCCGTTTTTTATCTGTTGGTACGTACACAGCTACCAAAACTACATGCGAAAACTCCCTTGGGATATAATACAGGCGTATAGACAGTACCATATATTCAATGTGAGGCAAACAGATAAACTTCTTTTGATGAACATTGTTAGGGTGACAGTAGCTTTCTTTAAGATAAACCATTACTCCTCCTCCAACCTTCTTCCCAGAAGTTTCCAACCCATCTCCTCTGAATAACATAAATTCGTCAATCTCAAACAGTTGATCACCTTTATTCTCAGATAGCCACGTCTCGGAAAAACACATAATGCTAGCAGTCCTAAATTCGTGAAAATACTTCACATTAGCTCTCAGTTCATCCATTTTATTACACATCAAGCGTACATTTCCCATTATTATACTTGGTAAGTAAGGCCGCCACCTCCTAGAATGAAGACGTTTCCTAACGCCACCAGCTTTGCCTCGCTTCCGACGTCGAACTTCGCATGGTGTATGAATTTGCATACTCTCACTTGGTCTGGGAACGGTTTGCTCCCGCATGGCTTTCAATTCTGCTGACGTGTAACAGAGCCTAGAACAGGGCCTATTTCCATTCGAACTTCCACAAATGATATGAATATGAGAAAGACAAACATAACCATATTCCCCAACATGCTGAAATCATTCGTTAACATCACAAGTCACAAATAGCAATAAGATAAGAATTCTAGTAGAATTCTAATAACACTCAAGAAGACAAATCAAGTGAGCAGTGTCATCCGTAAGAACAGCGCCACCTTTTTATTATTTTTTTATTGCACTAAACTAAACTTTATACAGTATATCTATACATCATTCTATGCTGTTATTTCCCCCATTTTCAATGTTAAAACAACACTTTTTTAAAATTTGGTGATAGTTTTTGCATGCAAAATGTCCAAAACCTAAACTTTGAAGGCTGATTTTTCAAATATCGTTCTTTAAATAGCTGTATTTTAAACGCTTGTAACTTCATAAGAAAATGTCTGATTTGAATTATTTTTTTACCATTTTATAGCTAGTTATTTTACTCTTTAACCCTGTATTAATAACTCAATATGGAGTTTTGCGATGAGTGACTGGTTTGTCTTGACTTTGACACAAATGCTGTTAAGTCTAGCAATTTATTATTTCAGTTTAAGGGCCATGTCTGTGCCTGAATAGAAAACTTTATACCTTGACGTACAGTATAAGTAATATCTCTAAGAACTGATTCTTAAAGCGGAGCACTCACTGACACGATTCTATGAAGAATGCAATGCGATGACTCGTGCGCGGTGGATCGTTTTTATTGACGATTCTTTCAAACGACCACCGACAATCAGCAGACAGCGTCACATAGTCTGGCGCTCTCGGGGAGTGGAGCTGGATTTGTCTTACAACAGTCAGACATCCTTCACACAACAAATCCAATTCCACTCACAAGGTGCGGAGTTGGATTCATCGTGCGACGGTTAGAAGACCGTCGAACGACCCAGTGAGTGCCTGGCTTTATTCTTACTATTAATTTCTCTAAATCTTTCATTTGTAATATAATTTCGTGCAGACTCCAAAAAGACTAAGAGAAGCCATGATTCAATATGTCGTTCTTTATTCGAACATCATCATTTATTTGTATTACCATACATTTTATTGCCCAATAAACATTGTAGAATAAAAATCATCTTCCCCCTGACACGAACAATACAACATGAAAACAAAATAAAAAACCACTAGTTAATATGTTTCACTTCAAATATTCAAATGAAAATCAAGAAAAATTGAGAGTATATGTGGATTTAAACTTTTTAAAATAAATTTTTATTTGAATTTTCATATCTCTGTTGATTAAAATTTGGTTTGCATGCATTCTAAGAAGTATTTTGTATTTGAATGTGACATATGTAATTATATTTTCACCAGAACAAACTTGCCAAGTACAACACATCTCACAACTGTTAAAAGAAGTGGAACCATGAGAGCTATTCAGTTACATAATCAACGTAAGTGACTCTCTTCCAGACTGTAATTAAGAACACACAGACAATAACAGTCTTCTTCAAAATAATTTGTCTAAGGAGATTAGATTTCTCTCGCTCTATACTTTCCTCCATAAATTGTTGTTAACCTTTTCTTTTTATACGGTCAGTATATCGTTGTTTCTTGGTTTGATCTCATTAAGTGTGTTCACTTTAGTTCATAGATAGCTCTTAATGTAGAGGAACTTTTGTATTTTATTGACAAATTAAACAGTGGAATAAACAAGTACAGGATGAGCATAAATATATAAATATATGTTTAAAATATATAAAGAACAAAAACTTACACAAATATCATTAATATACCTAAACTAATTTTAGGTGCTATATAATTCAGGATAATGTTGTTAGTAATGAAGGTATGGTAAAGGTAATGATGATAGTTTTATTGATGGTAGCATTAAAACTGACAAACAATAATATTGTTAATTTTTTTAATTATATTGTATCACTGCTTGAGGTTGTTTCTCCATACCGAGAACTTGGGCGTAGGGCAGGGGTGCAGGGTGCTGACGCCATGGTTTGTTTTAATGTGATGTTTTTGCTTTTTCTCGTTCTTGTTTTCTTTTTGTACAAAATACGCCAAATTAGCTTTTTGCTACTAATGTATTTTTTTTTTATGAAGGAGTTTTTTGAATAAAGATACCGATTATATGGTGGCAAATTAGGTCTAATAAGTGGGTTAAAATAATAAAAATGGCCATTAAGTTTTCAATGCGATAGGAATTTAATCCGCATTCTTCTTTTTATGCACCAACCCCCCCCCCCCCAACAGAAACCAGGCCATGCCCCTGAAGGGTATAATATAATTTTTGATAATGAGAATTATGATAATGACAAAGGTGACAGTGATGATGCTGATGATGTTAGTGAAAAAAAAATAATATTAAGTGTATTAATATATTAAATTATGATTTATTTTCAGCTTTGGATGGTGTAACTTTCGATATCAATAGTGCTTTCAAAGCTTTGTTGAATACAAACACAAATGTAAGATTTATTATTATTTTTGTTTATATGGGATTTTTTTTTTATTGACTAGTTTATATCTTAGTTGACAAGGATGGGAATGAAATTTTTTTTGTCAAATAAAATATTATGGAATTGTTTCATAGAGAGTTAAACATGTTTTCTACAGGTATTTGGTTTAATGACCACAGTAATAAGGTTACACACCTAGATAACTTTTAAATATGTGCTGTATAAGATCAACATTCTTAATAAATTCTCTTTCAGTTTACAGTACCGAATCTCAATTGCTTAACATCTGAACAAATAGAAGAAAAATATAAATATGATTTTCAAACAGAGAAGATTGCCGAGAAAAGATTAATACAATCCTAGGAACTGTATGTGAGGGAAAAGCAGGAAGGACATTAGTGTACATTATACTAAAGTTTTAGAGGGTTATAATTGAGAGTAGAGAGGTGAGGACAGGGGAGGGGAGGAAGGAAAAATGCAAAATACCAAAGGTGATAACATGGTAAAGGTGGACAGTGAACAGTCATTGATGCTGGCTCAAATGTAATATCTTGTTCAGTTTTTGAAACTAAGTCTTCTTGTGTACACTCACTCAAAAAATGTGAACTTGACCCCAGGGCTACCTTTGAGAAGACCAGGGGTTAGGGAGTTATCACAGTGTTCTTTTTAAAAAATTCATTTTTCATTTTATTTAATGCAAAAATAAGCAGTGGTGGATACAAGGGGAGGGGGGTGTGCGAGTTGGCCTGGGCCCCCTACATTTTTCAGAATTTTAAAGAAAATTGAGAAGGGAAATTATAATTAAATATAGGTCTGAGATTCCCTTTTTTGGCCATCTACAGCTACCATAATCAGCTACCATAATCATAAAGTTTCTTACCTCAGCTCCAACTATGGTGGGGCTGAAGTGGTCTAGCTCCTCTGCCTCTGTTTTTACTTCCTGTATCCGCCACTGATAAGCACAAGCAAAATGCATACTCAAGTGTTCTCATTTACCTTAGCACCTTTAAATGAGATATACCTTAGCACCTTTAAATGAGATAATCTTGCACCTATGGGCAGCAAAAAGATATGGTGGGACTTTTTTGAACAGTAGAAAGTTGTGTAATTGAGTTCGTCTAAGTGCTTTGTAGCCCCAAGGAAAAGGCACTATGTAAATACTTTTAACATATTTAACATTTAACAAAAAAAATCATACAATCTAAATGATAAACTAGAAGTATATTATTGTTTGTCTTATACTTTATTATATTCCACATTGTCTTTGATGAGATAGTATAATACATACTTCAAGTATCGAAATGCACGCATCGTGTCGGGATACAATATTTTGACATTAATTATGTGGTCATCAGGTATGAAAAATTATTCGTATATGCAAGCTTATATACACTAGTACCAAAGTGTTTAACCAATCAAAAAACCAATCTAGTAGGTGACATATGTCACCTAGGTAATGGTTTTGATTGGTTATGTTTTGATTGGTTAAACACTTTTATTTGATACTTGGAGTATGTATTATACTATCTTATCTGAGATTAATCAGTGAACTTTTAGGTTGTCTTTGTTGACTACTGTGTTTTGGAAGCCATTGGCAATGCTGTATTTTAATGTTTCTTATTATATAGAACCAACTTAATTATCCCAGACGAAGTGATGTTTACAAACATATTAATCATATGATATTACTGTAATATCACATTTGTCCTGTCCATTTGGATTTTATAATAGCATATTTACAGTTATGGATAGAAATTTACACTCCATTTAAGGTGTATATATAGACTATGTAGAATAGTAAAACTATAATTACAAATCCAAATGCCAAATGATATATTGGAGAGTCAGTGTTTAATTCAAAACCATTCTGTGTGCTTACAGTGTATTTGATTCTAAAATGCTTTCTGATCATTTTGGAACACAATTTATCTAATTATCTATTGTTGGAGTTGTTTTCAGTATTTTTTTTAATGTCATACTAGTCCGAGAGGGATTTATTAGTAAATGTCTTAAATGTACAATGATTGCTTATAGGCTGTCTCTTATACACATCTAGATGTGTATAAGAGACAGCCTAGATAACTAATAGACCACATTGGTTAAATATTGTAAGTAAATTAATACAGAATGTTCGAAGCCCACGTCAACTCCTGTCTCTTATACACATCTAGATGTGTATAAGAGACATATATATGTGTGTGTATATATATATATGTACTTTTCTGTTACGTTTCAATTTTTATTATTGCATTATTCCTCTTCCTGTTTCTGTTTTTTTTTTCTCATGCCTTTAAATCACTTTATATGCATTGTTACATCAGACATGATAAAAGAATGAAATGAACTCAGATTCTATCAGACACTTGAATCACCACAGTGCGTTCGTGGTCAAGTGGTTATGACGTTTCAGTCCTGGTGATACAAAATGCGCATAGTATCGACTTGCCAAACAATTAACATGAAAAAAAAAAATTTCTAACTATACGATGCTATTTGCCTAATTTTTTTTTTTATTAACAATGTTTATGTATATGGTGCCATTTCTTTTTGCGTTAAAACAGTTTTGAGAATTTCTTAGAAAAATTTGCATTATTCATATATAATTTTTTTAGATTTATTAATAATATTATTTATTAAGCTCTCACTCGATCAGTTAGGGCCCCTCTTCAGTAAGATAGTATTCTATAAGTCTGCATTTTTATTTAGCACCGTGGGCACAACTTTATACTAAAAATCAAAGTACTTTCTTCAATTCAAAGAATTAAGATCCACAATGCTTAATCTATTCTAGATTTTTTTTAGCTTTAAATAATTCTCAAACTTTACATTGTACATTTAATGACACATAATTTATCCCCAGAAAAACTTACGAATAAAAATAAAATGTACATGATCTTTTACAACATGGGCTCTACTGGATTTCAAATAGTTGATATCTATTTTAATATTCAGCAGTTTAAATTAAATTTATAATTGTTTGTTTAGTGTATTCTGGACAATAAAACCAACTCGAAATACGTTTCATCATGTGACTGTTATGTCGTAGAAAGTTCAAATTGTTTTTGACACAGATATACTTTTATTTTTAAATAAATCGTGATAGGCATATGTTTAAACAGGCAAAAGTCGAAACTTTATAAATGTATAAGAAATAAAAAGATAAAATTCACCCCAACCAGGACAACTAAGCCTTCGCGTTGAGGCGAAACAATATCAGAGAAAATACTGTCAGTCACAGTGATGTAAAATGCGCATAGTATCGACTTGCCAAACATTTAACATGAAAAAAAAAACATTACCTAAACTATACGATGCTATTTGCTTAATTTTTTTTTATTAACAATGTTTATGTATATGATGCCATTTCTTTTTGCGTTAAAACAGAATTTCCTAGAAAAATTTTTAGATTTATTAATATTTATTAAGCTCTCACTCGATCAGTTTGGGCCCCCTTCAGTAAGATAGTATTCTATAAATCTGAATTTTTATTTAAGATCCACAATGCTTAATCATTTTGTCCTAATCTAGACTCGTAAGTGGCTGGGGAAAATAGTGGTTATCGTTTGCTAATGTTCAGAAAGAAAATTTAGTACTAGTTTAATGCGTGTAATCTTACAGTGAATCAGGGTTAGCAACGAGGCATTGTTATTGTTTGTTTAAAAGGGGAAGTGGATTAATGTGGAGCATCTGCTGATCAATACTAATGCAAAATAAACTCAGCGATATACTCGGACAAAGCAGCAATATGTAGGCAGTAGCTGGAACATGGGCATCGACTTAACTGAACTAGGGATCACCACAATATTTTGTACTCCAAGCTTGTTTATTGTAATAAAATTTATTTGATAGGGTCACGTATTTTAGTGACAACCGTATTAACTTTTATTCGTTGTCCGACACAGTGGATAATAATAATAGTTAGTATTTAGAGCATCCTGAAAAGAAGGCCCCTGTGCTTTTTGTATTATTCTAATGCCTTGGTATATATATATATATATATATATTCAAACTTTATTTCAAAAAACATATACAGTATAACAATATACATTTTCTGGTAAACTCTTGCGACTAGTTACTACACGCTGCGATATCAATTCATACATGTTTGAAACAATTTCGCCCATGAATCTTTATCATTAGAAATTTCTTTAAGATACATAAGATCTTCATAACTATTCAGACAAAGATGTCATTTTCTTACATCTACCAGCAATTGATTCATTAAGTTACTTTGCGGTCTACCAACACGCCCTTTATATGTTTTAGAATTACTTAAAGCAAATGACATAGCAGTAAATGCTGGTGTATTTTCATCTAATCTAACTATGTGACCTAACATCATCCAACGTGATTTTTCAATTATTTTTGACAATTGGGATGTGGCAGTAATTTTATACAAGTTTACATTACTAATTGGACTGTCTCTTATACACATCTAGATGTGTATAAGAGACAGCTACTAATATGTAAAAAATACATATAATATTTTTTTTCTCCTCGACGAATTGTGCTTTTTCTCCCCGACGGGGGTGGGAGCAGCTCTCCCCTACGGGGGCCTCGGCCCCCCGCTGGCGCCACCCCTGAAACAAAATAAAGTTATCTGATATAATCTCCCATTTTAATGAAAATGCAGGTGTCAACTCGGGTGTCCGACAGGCAAGTGGTGAATAATATTTTGTGAGACAAAATAAATCGTCTGAGCTTTTGAGGGCTTCCTCCTTCCTCGTCTAACGATAGCGTTAATGGAAATATAAACTGTTTCCATAGAGAAAATTTTCTTTAAAAAAATTAGTTCAACGAATGGCGGGTCGCCAATTAAGTTAGCTATGCTGAAATAAGATCGCCATATTAAAAAGGTGGAATACCAGGATTTAAAGCAACTAATTCTCCGCAACTCACTACGCATGCGTGAATGAACAGCACTAGTTATAGGCATATATATATATATAAACCCCCACATCGACAACTTCGTAAATACTGCGAAGCATCACCTTAATACTTTTATTAACGAACAAGCCGAAACAGAATTCAAGGATAATCTCACCAAGCAACAACGAAGAGCCATCAACGAATTGAAATCCAACAGTAAAATCACAATCAAACAAGCTGACAAGGGTGGTGCGACTACCATTATGAACACTAGCGATTACGTATTCGTAGCTGAATCACAACTCTCTAACAACGAATATTACAAGAAATTAGATCTGGACCCAACCAAGACCTACGAAAATGAACTTATAAGTATGTGCAATAATCTATCTGAGCTATCTAGGGACGATACTTTAAAGTTAATACCTGTTTGTCATCACTCTGGAAAGTTTTACACTATTCCCAAACTCCATAAATTGCCTACATTGCTTAAATCGAAACATAATAACTCTGAGCTCCCTGAAGACAAATCAGTTATATTCGACTTAGCTAGAAACCTTCATATCATCCCCCCTGGTAGACCGATAGTTTCCTCAATAGGAACCCTCACCGAGCATTTGTCAGGCTACGTAGACCATATCATTAAACCATTAATATCTACGATTCCCAGTTACATACAAGACTCTACACATTTTCTGAACGTTCTTAACAATCTGCCTCCCCTACCACATAACCCCATCCTTGTCACCATGGATGTATCGTCATTATATTCGAACATCCCTCATTCCGAAGGATTAAACGCTCTCAGATCCTTTCTCACCTCACGATCACTCTCATTGGACAGAGTCAATGACATTGTAGCCATTACTAACTTCATTTTAACACACAATAATTTTACCTTTAATGATTCTCACTACCTACAAATAAAAGGCACAGCTATGGGGACTAAGATGGCACCTAACTACGCTAACATATTTATGGCTGAACTTGAAAACAATCTATTATCATCACTTAATC